CCTCTCGATGTGCCGGAATTTCATAGCAGAATCGGACCTCTTATTTGAATCTTCCTCAAAAATGTCTGCCTTCCTGTAGACTGAGTAAAAAATTGCGACCGCTACTTAGACAATGGAACATCCAGGTGATAATGAAGAAAAAGACAGCACTTTTCACCAATCTATCGGCGCAATGCGAGAAGGTTGACAAACTAGCTTGATTTTGAGTTTATCGCACTAAATGCGGCAACTGTGGGCAGAAGTTTATTGATGAGATCCTCCTCCTTCGATTTCCACTAAAATCATTCCACGAATTCCTTCCGACAAACTTTTCATTCGAAATGGAAAGCCACGTCACAATTGATCAATACTCCCAACGCATTTGGGGGGATGAAGAAACCAATGTGGAGTGTGAATAGCTCTCAGTAAATCCGCTAAAAAGGGCACATCTAAACTAGGTTTAAATAAACAAATAATAAATTGTGATAGTGGAGTAATACGAAGATATTGGATAAATTAATTCATCAGGACAGAATGAGAGATACCACAACTGTTCATCAGACTATTGATCAAATGATCGACTTCAATTGTCTCTCTAATTAGTTGTAGTGTGGTGCTATGAATGGCAAGGCTTATAAAGATACTGGCGAAACGTCTGTGAATGCACTAAGTGCATGGTTCGACTCTGGAAATTATCACACATACTATGGATTCCTTACAAGATGCGTTCCTCTAGGTTGCCCTGACAATGACCAAATTGCGAAAACAGGGTTAAACCACTTTTATGCAACGAAAGGAGATTGCGACCATACTAAATACCACGACATCTTGCTCTTAATTTCTTCTATTTATACACCATCGTCCATATTTACCTGGCTCTAATTTTATTTTAAAACTATTTTGGATGAAGGCAGCCCATTTGCATCATTTTCGAGATGCGGATTTGAAATTTTCGTCAGTCATACGTTTAATTCATTATCTACTTTCTGGTCATCTCCCACCACGTCCTGCATGTGTCTATCCACCTGAATATTAATCATATTCAGTCAGTTTGTATTTCAATCTCCACATAATTAATTATCAATCTATCCAACTATCTACATTCAATCGAATTTTGTCAGCCATTCTTTTAAACCCTTTAATTTTGTTTGGTCATAATTATGTTGTTTTTAATGAATATTTTCACAATCTTATATATTTATATATATATATATATATATATTCTTGTGCTTTGTAATCCATTTAACCACCCACTCCTACAATGTTTCCTTATAACCTTCCGCTTATATCTCGTACCACCATCTAACTTCCCCAGCTTGGGCATCTACTTCTGTCAGCTGTCATTCCAAGCCTCCTGTTTCTAAGCGCCTTGCTGGGGATGATCGGCCTTTGGGCGACTCGGCCTTTAGTCTCGTCTCTGGAACCGGTCAATATTCTCCCAACCGGTCTCACTTGACCATCGCTCAATCCCATCAGGCGCCTAGTACTACTGCGCTCGGACCCGAATACTTTGAGGCTACTCGGCCTAGTCTATCTTCAGGCCTCACCACTTTTTTCACTCAGCAGGCAATTGACGAATCTTCTCATGCCCAAGCCCCTACCAACAGTTCCTTTAATACAGGCACACAGTTTATTCCCATTGTTACTTCGCATCCTTGTGAGACCACCCCAAATGCGGTTGATACAACTTCATCCGAACAAGATGACAATGGAAATTTAGGAGTTTCGCAGTCTTTTATGAGGCTTAGCCAAAGGTCCGATACGGACTGTGTATATGTCGACCAACAAACGACTCAGGTTTGGTTTGGCATATGAGCAGTCACTCATGTTTTTGTGATCGCTATTTTATTTACAATTCGTTTACCACTTGCATACACTTCCCCCTTGCATGCATGCCTTCATACTACGTTGTATTTTATCTCCTCATCAGTTCCAAATACCTTCGTAATAGGGAAATTTACTAAAATTACCAACTTCCAAAACTTGTTTTTCCTGTCATAGTAGATTTTAGAGACTACTGGTAGATCTGATATAAGAGTTGTATTCACCCTATTTCGTTTAGGAAGACGAATGACTAGTTGAATTTTACCACAATGATATGATTAGCCCGTATGCTTCCATTACATTTCACATAGCCTTGCTTACCAAAAGTTATGCTCATCCAGAGTGGACTACAGTTTTGACTTCGTATAGGTCTCATCAGCACCCTCAGAGAAAAGACCCAGGCTTCCTTGAAATTCATTTCTGCTCTGTGGCCCAAAGGCACTCGTGGAGATGTATCGTAATGGTTGATGTGCCGAGATTACACGCTATGCTACCATAATCCGAGGTTCGAGTCCTTCTGAGGGTGCTGACTTAGGCAAGAATAAGCTGTAGTCCTCCCTGGATGATAATACCTTTTGGAAAGTAAGGCTTAGTGAAATTTGAATGAAATAGGAAATATCTTCATATCCATGGGGGAAAATTCAACTTACAGCCCTTAATTACTTTAAACGAAATAGGGCGAATACAACTCTTATTCCAAACTTGTATCGCAAAATACTAATCGTTTATATATTATGGGAGGAATATTGTGCTGATAGCAGACCAAACCAAGTTGAGAGGTCTTATCTTTAAAGTGATAGTCGTGAAGCTTAAGGGTCACTGCGCTTACTTATGGGCCGA